GAGGAGGAGCAGAAGGAGGAGGAGGAGGAGGAGGAGGAGGAGGAGGACGAGGAGGCGGAAGAGGACTTGTTCAGTCGCAGCGATTCTCATTCATTTCGGCTTCGGGGGGCTGGGACCATCTCACTGGGTTCGGTCGTGCGTTGGGCATTGTAGTTCTCATGTGTTGTGAAGGCCTTACGGCTTGTGCCGCCGACCCAGGACGACGACGACAACGACGACGACGACGACGAAGACGGCGGCGGCGGCGGCGGCGGCGATGACGACGACCACGACGACGACAGCGACCACGACCACGACCACGACCACGACCACGACCACGACAACGACAACGTCCACGACGACGACCACAACAACCACGACGACGACCAAAGACAACGACGAGCTGAGGACCTTGCCACAGGCTCGGGATATGGGGCGGACTTCGGAGGGAGGGAGGAGGCGGAGGAGACGGAGGAGGAGGAGGAGGAGGAGGAGGAGGAGGAGGCGGCGGAGGAGGAGGAGGAGGAGCAGGATGAGGAGAGAGGACGAACGAGGAGGAGCAGGAGGGGGAGGAGGGAGGAGGAGGAGGAGGAGGAGGAGGAGGAGGAGGAGGAGGAGGAGGAGGGAGGAGGAGGAGGAGGAGCGGAGGCGGAGGATAAGGACGAGGAGGGGGGAGCGGGATGGGGAGGTGGGTGGATGATGATGATGATGATGATGATGATGATGATGATGATGATGATGATGATGATGATGATGATGATGATGAATGATGATGATGATGATGCTGCTGCTACTGCTGCTGATGCTGATGATGATGATGATGATGCTGATGATGATGCTGATGCTGATGCTGATGCTGATGATGATGATTATGATTATGATGATGATGATGATGATGATGATGATGATGATGATGATGATGAGGAGGAGGAGGAGGAGGAGGAGGAGGAGGAGGAGGAGGAGAGGAGGAGGAGGAGGAGGAGGAGGAGGAGGAGGGGGAGGGCGGGAGGGGGAAGTGGAGGAGGAGTCGGAGGGGGAGGAGGAGGAGGAGGAGGTGGAGGAGGAGGAGGAGGAGGAGGAGGAGGAGGAGGAGGAGGAGGAGGAGGAGGAGGGGGAAAAGGGAGGCGGAGAAGGAGGGGGAGGAGGAGGAGGAGGAATCAGAGGATAGTCGTCTGCCTCCTCCTGTGCGGTGCGCCTGGGAGGCGAGCACCGAGGGGGAGAGCTCTCAGCGGGGGAGGGGCCACAACCTCCGGGCCTCTGCCCAGGACCCCCCCGAGACCCCTCTGCGGTTTCTGCGGTTTCTGCGGACGGCCAAGGTCGAGCAAGCTCAGCCTAGGCCTAAACCAAGACGGGGGGGAGGCCAAAAACAAAAGAGAGAACCTCGAGCCTCCCTCCCTCCTCGCGGCGCTGCGCAACGCTCTCGCCTTCATGAAGCTCGTGCTCAACATTGTGAGCGTGTCGAGCGGCGGGCGGCCACGCGCGCTCTCTCTCTCCCCCCCCACATCCACGTCTCTCCCCATCCACATCCCCTCCACCGCCCACTAGTCCAGCACTGGCCTGAGACGGATCACTACCAGCCGCAAGGACCCAACATGTGGGAAGGAGGGAGGAGGGTAACAGGGTACGATATGATAATTGAAAGAGGGAGGGGAGGGGAGCAAGTGGCCAATGCCTAGAGGGTGCCACTGCGGGGGGCAGCCTCCATACCCTCGAGCCTGTTCAAAAGCATCAGGCGGGTGTCATGGGCCACTACGAAATAGGCGTTGAGCCTGTACGGGTTTTCTCCGCCTCAGCAAGAGGAGGGCCTATACCCTCTGGAGGCGGGTCCGCACCTATGAGGTGGTGCATGCTCTGAGATGCCTCTTGGGCATGGTGGACTAGGCCAGCCAAACTGCGCAAACTGCCGAAAGCTCTCTGTGGGCTTTCTTGAGGCCCTCATCCTTGCCGATGCGACTTCCATTGGCCGAGCCTGCACTCCTTTCGACTGATGGGGTGCAGGCCAATGCGAAGCCTAAGGAGCGAGAGGCTGCGGAGGGAAGGCGGTGGCGGTGGACGCCAGAAGGGGGGGGGGTGGCGAGCTCCTCCTCCGCCAGTGCATACTCGAAACCCTCCACTCCTCCTCCACCAGAGGCATATAAAATTTTAGAGCCCTCTATGTAAGCCCAGCCTTCATACTGCCTTGTTACAGCTACAGCCTCATCGACCCCAGGACTGGACTGCTGGGCTTACAAGGGGATAGCCTAGAAACCTTCATCAATGCCTGCCTCTTCCCCCTGTCCCTCGCCGGGGAGTGGGATGCTGGCTGCCAGCGCACGGTCCAGCCCATTGGCGAGTGCATCCCGCTCCGCCCTGACCGTGGTTAGCTGCTGGCGGAGCTGAGTTGCCTCCTCCTCGACTCTTAAAGCGCGCTGATGAAGGGACGCCACATCTTCAAAGGCCGTACTGGGCTTGGGCCTCGTGGCCCTGTCCTCCTCCTCTTTGGGAGCAGGCCGCTTTTTGGAGGTGGGGACCAGCGTGGGTTTCGCGACAAACCTGGCGGGACGTCCGCTCACTGCTTGCGGAGGCGGATGCACTGGGCGGTGTGGGGTATAGGTCCTGAGAACGAACTTGCCCCCGCAGCGCACACCATCACGGAGGCGATGACAGTGGACCCAGGGTTCCTGCTCGAGCCTGTCCCGGCGCAACCATCCACCACATTCTCGGTGGTGTTCACATGGTACATAGTCCATTGCAGACGAGCCGAAATTGAGAACTGGAAGCGCACAGGCCTAAAACTCTTGAAGCCTATACATTGCATCCCTCACCTGCTGCTGCTGCTGCTGCCGCTGACATCCCTCCCAACCCCCAGACTGGAAGGGTCTGGCAGCTACCTGTCTTGCTGCTGTATAGAACGCGCCAGCTGGGCTATGGGGAAAGCGTGGGAAAACAGTCCCCGACGACCCAGGGACCTGGCCTTTGAGGAGCTTGCGCTTTCTGGGCCCTGGGCAGCTTTCCTGATCTAGCTTGGTCGACTTACAAGTTAAGAAGCGACCACATTTAATACATAATATGATGTGTACCTGCGAGCCGTCAATTGTGGCTGCATGCAGCACATGGCCTAGACCATGCTGGCCATCTAACAACTTTGAACTGCTGCATTTAGCCCTTGGCACGCGAACTTCGTGCACGGGCTGACCTTCCTGAAACAGGTGCTGCATCTAAAGCATTTGTCGTGCCATACAGGGGTATGGCACTGTATAAATGGGCACTCCTTCCTTCCAGGGGCTGCTTTAAAGAGTTTGTCCCAAAGTTCACGAGCTTTGGGCCACTGGCCTAGAACCTTGGTCGTGCCAATGATTAGGTCTCGGTAACCTTCCGCGGCTGCTAGAACTGTGTTTGCCTCCTCGGGGCTGGCAGCATGCACGGCTGCCGCTTGGCTTGCATGCCAATCTACGGCCTTGTTGCCTAGGAAATGCTGAAGGTCTGCGTTGCTCTCTGCCTCCTCGAGCGCGCGGTGGGCCTTGGTCTTTTCCAAGACTGGCCACTGGCCTACTGGAATTGCTTCTCCTATGCCTCTCCAGTGGTCTGCGAAGTCGGTAGTGCCTGTCAGAACTGCATGAGGTGAGCGCTGCCCTTTGAGCAGCGCTGCGTAGTCTATAACAAAAGGGGCACTGCGGGGCCAGGTCGAGTGCTGGACCGCCAGGTGCAGCGCTGCATGTTCTGCATGGCCTGAGGTTTGTGGGAGCATATCTGGCAGCGGGCTCCTGAGGCCTTTTAGGAGCCCACCCGAATCATCGAGCTGAACGGCCGCGCAGCCTGCTCGAGAGAGGAAAGGACGGGTGGGATGAATGCAAGAGCCGTCGGTATAGATTGGCCTTGAAGCTCCGAAGAGGCCAAACTGTTCGCGGCTACACGGTTCTGACCCACCATCTGCTGCTCCTACAAAGTATTGGAGATTCCAATCTCCACGCGGTGGGCGCACCTGCGAATTGGGCCTCACAGCCCATAAGCGCGAACACATTAAGTCATTTGGGCCTGCTGTTAAAGCTGCTTCAACATATTCCGATACATACTCCTCACGCATTGGGTCTCCATGTGGGCACTCCCATATGCGGTGAAAGGTAGTGCCAACAGCACCGCAGTAGGTGCATGGCCCTACCACCTTAAATCCCCAAGCTTTTAGCTTGTCTCCTGTGGGGGGGCGTGCCACAGAAGACATGCCTGGCAGTTGCTGCCTCTGAGCGGGTCATTTTGCTGCTGCTGAGGGTCTTTAAAAACTGTTCGGCCCATAAGCCTTCCGAGGCCACGGGGGCCTCTGGAGCACACTTGGGACTAACATAATCGTGAGCCAGCTTCTGCTTATACTGGCTTGCTATATGGTTTGCTACACGCCTAGGTGGAATTCTTAAAATGTCCCATCTTCGGCCACTGGTGTCGCAGACGGTTGTTGCGTTTGGCGTAGTCCAGCCGACCTCTGCGACCCACATGAGCAACTGAGAAATTTTGCCTCGTGCTTTGGCGTGCTTTGGCTAACCAGCTACGCTTAGTGGAAGTGGCCAGGGGCTGCACGGCCGCTTGGTGAGCTGCTCTAAGTTCTTTGATGCCTAAAAGGTCACGGTGCGTGCGCAGCTCAGGTCTGGTGGATGAAGCATTCCACCATTCTATACAATATCTTTCCATGACCTGAGACATCAGCTTTATTGGATCTTTATCTGGAACAGTGATCCACCAGAGCGCGTTGTTGGCCGACTTGGTGTACCGTCCTGAGGCTATCGCTCCTAGTTTGCGAAGGGAACTGACCTCATGGGAAGTAAAACCTTGGCCCCCCGCCCCATATGAGATGGTGGAGCGGCCTCCAACTGTGAAAAATCGGCCTTTACGGAGTTTCGTTTTGCCCTTCAGGCGAAGGGGCTGGATTTTCTTGACCCTGGCCCTCAATTTGATCCATCTTTTACGTCTTTGGGCCCTGGCTCCTGGTACACGCGCATGTTGTCCCGCGGTAAAATCTAGCCCAATATTAACTGCTGCTGGAACATTCGAGCCTCCCAGCTCCTTCAGGACTGACATAGCTGCTTCCAGGAGCTTGTCTGAGCTGGCTACCATGTTCAACTTCGGGATGGACAGGCTTAGGTTGAGGGCGTGGAGGCCCTTGGTCATCTTGAGTGCCAGATCCGCCAGAGACTCCACTACCCAACTGACACCTTCTCCCCAAGCACAGAGGTTCACGTCATCAATTTGCTATGCATGCCGAGAGCCCGTCCTGATTTGGGTCTAGTGCCTGGGTCGTGATGGGCATCCTGTAAGATTTGGCTTCGTAGGTCGCCGAGGATCCTCCTGCTGTGATTCCACGGTCGGGGTATGCTGGGCTTGATATTGACCCGTCTAAACTCAGTCTGCGGGGCCACCTGTATATCTGAATATTGAACAACAATATATGCAAATGATAGCAGGTGAAGCTTGTCTGGTCGTACATTATGTGGTGGTCCAGGTGCTCATAGTAGGCAGAACTATCCCACAACAGGTGTAGGTAGTGAAGTCCCTTGCCTGCCTGTGGCTCTGCCCTAACACCCTGCCTCCATACTGCATCTTCTGGTGACCTACCCTGTCTAGCTGAAAACTCCCCTCCCATGCCGCGCTGGCGCTCCCATTCTTTGCACTCCGAAGCTGCTAACTTGCCCTTGATGCGTAGCGCGCCTGAAAAGAAGGCAATGCAGCGTCTTCCTGGCCCCTTGTGCTTCCTAGCCAGTAACAGCTGGATTTGGCGCATATCTGTGGGGCCGTTGAAAATCACATCCATGATCTGGAACAAAAGACTCATAGCGTGCAGACCTTCGGTCGAGAGCATTCCAACGTGTCGAGGGTGAAACCCGTCGGGTTGGCACGTGCGCTCCTTGAGCTTCCTAGCTATGGCTCCCAGGACTCCAGGGTCTGCTGCAGGGGGAATTGGGATGGGGCGTCTCTGGGCTAGCCAGTCAGGCTCTGTGATGGGGTCCTCTGAAGCTGCCCATTTTTTGCTCCACATGGTGAGCTGCTGGTCCATGAAGCCTGGGAGGGATGGGGACAGCCCTTCTTCCGTGATGGACTCATCCGTACCGTGAGCATCCTTTTCCTTCAAGTGCCGATGCAGAGCCCCTGCTGATCCCTCTACCGCCTGATCTACCCACTCCTGCCAACTCTCTCTCTGGAGGCGATTGTCGGAGCCCTGCCCTGCCCTGTACAAAGCATCAAAGCAATAACAAAGGTCCAGGAGGAGGATGGAGTGGTCCGCGGTCTTGCGCTGCTGGAATATTTGAGTAACTGCTGAAACCTCGGGGTGGAAGATCCCCCCTCCTTCTCTCCAGTGCATGCGGAACGGGCCGCCCTTGTAGGGCAGTCGTACCATAACCTGGATCAGCTGGGCGCAATATCCTGCTGGAAAGTGGCCCTCCTCAGCAGCATAGTACAAACTGTGGAGCTCCCCGAAACGTCCTCGTAGCCACGACAATGACCGTTCTGGGAGAACTTTGTCATAGTGCTTAGTTTGCAGTAGCTGCTGGAGTGGTACTTGCTTAATTTCCAGTTTTTCCCCAGGCTGCTTCCCTGAGGGAGGTGTTTGAGTTCGTAAACTGAACTCCTTGGTCGCCTTGGATAATCAATCCGGGTACCTTTGGTCCAAGAATTCCGTTGCAGTTTGAATCTCATCTGAGTCGCCTGCAATACTCCACGTTTTCCCATCTGAATCAGTGCGGGCCTCCAGGTACTTTTGTAAGCTGGCTGTCACCTCGGAGTAATCTGGTAGGACTGGGTGGAATAGTGGTCCAATAGCTTGCTTGGTGGGGTATGTTTGGTGCGCCTCTGGGACGTGTACCATGATTTCGTGCGTGTTGCCTTGCAGTGCAAGGTCCACCACTCTGTGTGGGGGTAGCTCTATGTCAAAATTCACTGCAACGTCTTGGAGCCCATGCGTCAGAACTCTACTTACGAGGAAGTAGTCGACATAGGTGCTTGATTCAATTGCCCCATCTTCGCCTGAGTAATACAGCTCGGAGTTGGAGCGCATTTGACCACCAGTTGTAATTTAGATAGATCTACGTGTTCCATGAACATACCAATTTCAATGTTAAAGTCGCCACCTATAATCGAGGGGTGGCCATGTCTTGTCATGTCGTTGCCTATCTTGCGCAAGATGTCATAGTTCTTTTCACCCAAGCATTTGCCCTTGATGAGGTAGACCGAGTAAAGAGCTATGACTCCATAGGCCTTCGACCTAAAGAAACACCTGCAGACCCGTCCTGGTACTATTACTTGATGATTGTCTGCCCAGGTATCGAGGTGTCCACGCACAAGGATGAAGACCCCACTGGGGACTCCACCTTTTGGTCCAACCAGGCCCTGGGTGCCGTAGACCTTGTAGCCTGCTCTCTGTAGCTTTTCCACAGCTTGCTGATATTTATCTTTTCTAAGTCGGTGTTCTTGCACGAAGATTATGTCTGACGAGATTTGGGGCAGCATATCAGCCCCTGTTGACCAAAGGTTTACATTCATGGTGCTGATGGCAAGGTCTTTGGGACGTGCTCTCGCTTTGCCACGGGGGCGCTGCTGAGGTGCAGGTGGGCTACCCATACTGCACTGCTCCCTCTGCTGCTGACGAAGACGGCCCTGCACCGCCCTTGCACCCATGCTGTCCCTTCTGTCCCTTGAACTGCTTAAGCTTCGCTGCAATTCGCGATACCGCCTCATGGGGATCATCACCAACTCCATTGGGGAAAACCTTGGCATATGTCTGGGTACCCTTGAGCTTGTCCAGTAGTCCCTCCAGGTCCACGTGGGAGCTAGAACGCTTCTGACGGAACGAGAAACCCATATCCTCATCCAACTGCTCCAGCTCCTTGTCATACCAAAGTTATTATTTCTGCCCTTCTTTCTCCCCTTCCCCTTGTTTCGCCTCCTCCTCTTTTCCTGCCATGTCCTCATCTGGTGGCACTGCTGCTGAAGCCGCGTACTTCGAATCATATGCCTGGAATAGCTCTTCTTTATTGGGATGAGCTTCGATGACCTCCTCCCACACAGCAAGCTTGTGTTTGAGGTCCTTCGTCGAATACATGCTGTCTGCAAACTTTTCAGCTGCTTCTGAGCGCATGGCGTCGAGCTCACTCTCCAGGCCTTCGGCTTTAGATACCAGCTCCAACTTGAGGTTAAACAGAACTTCCATAGTATTTTCGAGCTCGCCCAATTCATTTTGCACCTGCTGGAGCTGCTTTTCCTTACGTAATACTGCTTGCTCATGATGTTGCAGCTGCTTGCTGGGGGGTGTTTTTTTCCCCTCGTTGTGCTTGGGCTGCTGCATATATTTCTTCGAGCTGCTCCACGAATTCGATGGGGAGGTCGTTATGTTTGGAGCGCGCTTGCTGCACCACTTGGTGAAGGCCATGGAGGGTAGGCATTCCTTTACGACCTGCTGCTGCTCCTGCTCCTCCAGCACCTCCAGCATCTCCTCCAGCTCCACCTCGCCCTTGTCCCCCTTGTCCTCCTCCTTTCTTGCCCTTGGTCTTGCCCTTCTGTCCTCGATCTCCTTTGCCACCAACTCCCTTCTTCCCGCCCCCTCCGCCCATGTGGCCCATGTACTGCTGGTGGAAGTTGTTGTACATGTAACCTGCTGAACCTTTCCCTGGGGGAGGCGGGACCCAACCCTGAGCGAGAGGGATGAGAGGTTGGTAGTTTGGCGGTAGGGGCGTACCACAATGATAGCATACTTTGGCCCAAGGATTGTTCCACTTGTTGCCGCAAGCAGAGCACCCCACAGCATGCGGGGACTTGGGGCCATTGCGGGGCATTTGGGGAGCTCGGTGGGGCTGGTGGGGCCAGGGCGCACCTGGCAGTTAGAGAAGAAAACGACGGGGTGTACGGTGATCCCCTTGTAAGCGAAAATGCGTCCAGGCGCCCCCTTGAGTTATGGGGGTACCACACACGGCCTTGAGCCAAAATGGCTTGAGCCAAAATGGCTACGGACCCCGGGACCCCTCCTCCTCCTCCTCCTCCTCCTCCTCCTCCTCCTCCTCCTCCTCCTCCTCCTCCTCCACCCCCTCCCGTCGACGTATCCCTCCCGGGACCCCTCCCGTCGACGTGATTACGACACTGTTCGATCCCCCCCCGGTTTGCCCGATTTCCCTCAGAACGACGACGAATCCAAGGAGGCTGGCGTACTTCAGTTTGGGCCTGGCCTCGTGTCGAGGGGCCTCGCACACACGCCGACTGGGCCGGCGGATCGTCTAGTCATTGCAGTTGGCATGTATTTTACAGTCTACTGCGTGTTGCGCTCGAGGGCTCGTGGAGTCGGATGGCTGTGAACGTGTCTTCGCCCTTGGCTCCTGCCCGCTCTTTTCCCCTCCTTTGCCTTGAGGAGGAAGTGATGGGGGAGGAGGGGGAGAACGAGTGAGGTTGGAGGTAAGAGGGGGGAGACTGATGGAGTTCGGGAGGAAAAGGGACGGGGAAAGGGTGGAAGGAAGCGAAAACAAGAAGGAAGTAGGGAGGGGGAAGGAAGGGATGGAGCATCAGGGTTTGAGACGTTGAGGGAGGTGGAGATTGGAGGGAGAGACGGGGAAGAATAAGTATTCTGGATGACGACCACGATGACGATAACGACGATGACGATGACGAGGTGCGGATGGTGATGATGCCGATGCTGATGATGCTGATGCGGATGAGGGTGGTGGTGGTGATGGTGAGGATGGTGCTGAGCTTGGTGTCTATGGTGTGATTAGGATGATGATGATTATTATGGTGATGATGCTGCTGATGATGATGGTGATGATGATGATGATGATGCTCGTAGAGATGCGTATGCTGATGCTGATGCTGATGCTGCTAATGGCGATACCGATGCCAGTGCCAATGCCAATGCCGATGCCAATGCCGATGCCGATGTCGATGATGATAGTGATGTTGATGATGATGTTGATTCTGATTATGATGCTGCTGATGATGTGGATGATGATGATGATGATGATGATGATGATGATGGTGATTATGATGATGATGATGGTGATGGTTATGGTGATGGTGATGATGCTGCTGATGATGATGATGATGATGATCATGATGATGATGATGATGATGATGATGGTAATGTTGATGCTGCTGATGCTGATGGTGATGATAGTACTGAGTATGATGGTGCTTCTGCTGTTGCCGCTGATGATGCTGCTGATGATGATTATGATGATGATGACGACGCTGATGCTGATGCTGATGATGAGGATTATGACGATGATGGTGCTGATGATGGTGGTGGTGATGAGGATGCTGATGGTTATCCGTATGATGCAGATGATGATCACGGCGATGACAATTCTGGTGATGATGACGATGGTGGCGATGATGTTGTCTTGATGCTGTCGCTGATGCTGATTTTGGTGATGATGATGCTGATGATGATGATGATGATGATGGTGGTGATGATGATGATGATGATGATGATGATGATGCTGATGATGATGATGATGATGATGATTATGATGATGATGATGATGCTGATGATGATGATGATGATGCTGATGATGATGATGATGATGATGATGATGATGATGATGATGATGATGGTGGTGGTGATGGTGGTGGTGGTGGTGGTGTCCACGAATACGATGATGAAGTATATTGCCGTGGCGACGGCGATGTCGATGATGAGCAGGGCGATGGGAAGGTCTGATTGCTGTTGCATGCTTGTGGGACGCGTTTGCCCAGTTTCCCCCCACGCGCTGCACCGACAACAAGGTGATGGTGATGGTGGTGGTGACGCGGATGGTCCAAGAATGAGGAGGATGAGGAGTAGGAGGATGAGGAGGAGTAGGAGGATGAGGAGGAGGAGGACGAGGATAGCTAGTATGCACAAGTATACAGGAGGGGATGGGCGGAGGGAGGGAGGAAAGGAGGGATATGTGAAGGGAGGAGGGGGTTAGGCAGGACTGCGTTAACCCAGGGATGGATGGAGGCACTGTCAAGAGCTTCAACCCCGACAAGGGCTTCGGATTCGTCGTCGGCCCCGACGGCACGGACGTCTTCCTCCACAGGAAGTCTTGCGCCGACAACAGCGTGCCGCAGAAGGGCGATGTCGTGACGTTCGACATGGCTCCTCCATGGGGGGGATGGCGAGAGAGGAGGGAGGATTGAGGAAGAGGAGGGAGGAGGGCGGAGGGAAGAAGAGGAGAGAGAGGAGAGGTGGAACGATGCGGAGATAGTTGGTAGGAGGGACGAGGGGGGGGACCAGAGCAAGCCCAAGATGTACCAACGAAGCTGCAGTACTCGTCTACACGTAAGAGTGACCCTTCGCCGGAATGACCTTTGGTGCGCGGCCATTGGGGCCTCCCGATCGTCGCGTGCGGTGCGGCAGCAGCGTCTTGCTCGCTGGTGTTTGGTCCCCCCGCGGCCCTCAGAAAGCCGCGCACCAAAGGTCACTCTTACTCAGGTCGGAGGGCACCAACTATACACCAACACCGATCCTGGCCAGGATCGGGGTTGGTGTATAGCTGGTGCCTTCCTATCAGGGTCACTCTTGCGTGCAGCCGAAGTACGCCCTCCCGCCCGAAGCCCCTCCTCGCTCGTCCCTGCATGACGAACGAACAACACACACCCATACCCATAGGGAGGTCGTTGGGAGGAGGACTGGCTATGGGTATGGGTGCGGGTTGTCGGACCCTGGGGAACGCTCCCGTTCGAGCGGGGACCCCCATCCGACAACACGCACCCATAGCCCTCTCCGATCCCCCTATGGGTATGGGTGTGTGCTGTTGGTTCGTCCCTGCTGGCATGTCTCCTCTGCGCTGCGGGAGCCCCCCTTGACGGGCGCCCCGTGGCCCGCCCTGCACCCGTGCGTGCCGTCGGTGGAGGGGCCCGCCTGCCGTCCCGCGGGCTGCAGGGCCTCCTCCTCCTCCTCCTCCTCCTCCTCCTCCTCCTCCTCCTCCTCCTCCTCCCCTCCCCCTCCTCCTCCTCCTCCTCCTCCTCCTCCTCCTCCTCCTCCTCCTCCTCCTCCTTGCGGCAAAGGGAGGTTTGACATTTTCAAACAGTGCCCTCCTCCTCCTCCTTGCGGCAAAGGGAGGTTTGACATTTTCAAACAATGCCCAGCGACCGTCTGATTTGAAGATGCGTCGCCCGTCATCCGCGCAGATGTTGCGCAAGCTGCAAGTCACCTCTGGACGTGCAGTTCTTAGGAGGTCTGGCGAGAGTCCCAGTTTTTGAAGCCGCACCGCCCTTCATTCGTGCGGCTGTTGCACGACTGTAACTTAGTGGTCGCATTTCCAGAAGGACGCAGGCGAGAGCCCCATTTTGAAATGTCTTGGCCTCCATCCGAGTAGTTGTTTGGGAGCTTGCAGCAAGTGCGAACGGCGCTAGGTCGAAAACGTACTGAGGACCTCGGGGCAGGCGGGAGGCAAGGGCTGGCGGGACGGGGCGGGCGGGAAGGGGCCATGGGAACAGGGATGGCGGCCAGCAGGGAACCAGGCAGGAGAGTGGGGAGGAATCGCGGACATGCGCCGACATCGAAACAACGAGTCGCCCAGACATCAAACGATCTGTTTTGTCATTGTGCGGCTCCAGGGGTCCCGACTCCTTTCCCCTGGCCAGGTTTTCGCCCGAGATCCATTCGAGGCCGTTTTCCTTCAGACTCTGGCAAGGTGCATTGCTCGGAGGTGGGTGGGGGGGGCGCGGCGAGGCCCGAAAGGAGGTCTGGACTCCCAGCATTTATCGGGACTCGCTTGTGCGGCTCTCCGGCCCAGTGCTGAGCGAAAAGGCATGGGGGGGGGACATGTCATGCCGGTCGACCTGCCAGAATACAGTCGGCCCGGATGAGTAGGTCGACCCTGCCAAACCAAGGGTGCCCTCGCGTCCTGAGTCTCGCGACCCACGCCTCCTACATTCCTGTGGCAATGTGGCCCTCGGAAGGGTGTTGCGTCCTCTCGCGTGTCCTCTCCAGTCAAGCCCGACGGACTGTACGGCTTTCCAGCCCCGTGCTGAGCGAAAAGGCATGGGGCGGGGGGGGGGACGTGTCCTTCAAATCATAAAAAACAATGACACCGACAAACATTTCAAAACAACAAAGTATTCTTCAACTGAGAAATGCCAAAAACTGATAGGAATACGTAGTTTTTGTGTGTTGCCTGCAAGTCAGCCTGCCAGCATAGGGCAGCACACGGGCTGTTTTTTTTTGCGGGGCCTCCGGGGCCCGAGGACGGGCCCCGGAGGCCGACACATCGGGGAGCACCTCTCCCGGATCGCAATGCTCGGGAGGGAAGGAGCACACAGAGACACAATGACTCGCCGATTCCCCAGAGATGTAGGGAAATAGGGGAAGTGGGGGGGAAGACGAACATCCAGAAAGCATGAACACATGGGGGGAATCCTGTTATTTGTGTGTGTATCTCTTTGCGTGTGTCCCAGGGCCCCTTCAAACAAGCACATCGTCGGAGCTCCGTCGGCGCCAGGAGCCCAGCACCACGAAGCCCGGGCAGTTCCAGGCGGTCAACGTCACCGGCGGCACCGGCAGCGCGGGCGGCGGCACCCCGGTGGAGGCCGCCGCAAGTGAAAAGGGGGCTCTGAGGGAGGCGTGCCAGAAGGTGTTCGTCGGGTGCGGTCGGAACGAGCTGTAACAGGGGAACGAACAGTCACATAAACATAAAAAAACTCGGAGGTCCGCGCGCAGTTCTCGGATCGGCGCTGGGGCCCCCCTGGCGGCGCCTCCGGCGCCGCCCCTGGCGCGCTCCGCGCGCAAGGGAAGGGGGATCCAGCGCCGATCCGAGAAATCCGCGCGGACCTTTGAGTTTTTATGTTTATGTGACTGTTTGTTCCCCCATATGAGGATCGAGGTTGGCAGTGTGTTTCGTACCTGGTGGATGCTCCTGCGCATGCTGGGGGATGGGGCCCTCGAGGTTCTTCAGTCTGGCCGCCGGAGGGTCTCCTGTTCTCGAAGGATGTTCTCCTGTCCTGTAGGTCCGGCCGCACTCGTCGGTACACTGAGGGTCGAGTTTTGAGGTTTTCCCGGGTCGAGTTTTTCTTTGGTGTTTTGGTCAGTTCTCAGGGGTTTTCCAGCCTCGGGGCGTCTTCCAGCAGTTGCGTCTCGCCGAGGGCGTTCCGGGGGCTCCCTGCATCGTCCAGAGCGGCCGCCAGACTCCCGAGCTGTGCCCCGGCAAGCAGAACTTGCATGGAGTAAGCGGGCCCTCAGGGAAATGGACCCGGAGGTGTTTGGCTATTTTTGGCCTCCCCATCGCCATCCCCATCTTTATCCTCATCCCTTTCGAGACCCCCACCTAATTACCACCCCAGTTGGGGATACACCCCTCGAAACCCGAAGGGGACGACCTATATCCCCATCTAGGGGGCTAAATCGGCCAGTGGGGCCCAGGCCACGCCGCTGGGGATGGGGATCGGTTGAACGATATTCACTCAACGTGCTGCAGGAGCGTCAACAAAACGACTCTGGGTGAAAAGCTGGTCCTGGGGACAGGGTCGAGACTTCCAAGGGGCCGCGCCGCGAACGAGACGACACAACGCCGGCTGTCTGGTGAGGAGGAGGAGGAGGAGGAGGAGGAGAAGGAGGAGAAGGAGGAGGACGAGGATCGAGGATCGAGCCCCGTCCCCTTCATGCCGGCGGAGGGCACCGGCGCGCACCGTGGGACGTGCAAGTCCTTCAGCGCGCAGTCGGAGTACGGCTTCATCGTCGGCGAGGACCCAGGGCCCCCGGATCGCCGACGCGCTGTCTTGTGCGAGCCGAGTGCTCCGCCTCGGTGTGTCGGCCTCGGGGGCCAGATCTCGGGCCCCGGGTCAGCGGCAACGTAACGGGTACTCACCCACGGGTACTTTGAAGATCTGCCGAAAGTTGCCACTTCAGGGCTTCTTTCTGGCACTGCAGCGTTGCCCACCTCGGGGAGGGTCGGGCTCGCCGGGTCGCCGGCCAAAGTGCCCACTATAGTGGAGTCCCCGTTGGAGGGGCGCTGGCCAGGGCCACGAGCAGTGCAGCCAGGACGGAAAGACACCCCGCGGGAAGCGGTCGGGACCTCTGGAGCCGGGCCTCCAGATCTTGGGCGCTCTGTTTTTTTCCCAACCATCCTGTGGTGTTGGGTCCTCGTTTTGAAGAGACAGCGCCCCGCGTCCCACCTCCTCTCCTCCTCCTCCCCCTCCTCGCCCTCCTCCCTCCTCCCCCTCCTTGCCTCTGCTCTCGGCACACCCCTCACACGTTTCGTAGCCCCATAGGGAGCTCCACCGAAGGTCCCAGTGGCACAGCCCGCATGCGGTTCCTCCACCCAGGGCAGCGTTTCGTAGCCCCATAGGGAGCTCCACCGAAGGTCCCAGTGGCACAGCCCGCATGCGGTTCCCCCACCCAGGGCAGCGCTTCGTAGCCCCATAGGGAGCTCCACCGAAGGTCCCAGTGGCACAGCCCGCATGCGGTTCCCCCACCCAGGGCAGCGTTTCGTGGCCCCATAGGGAGCTCCACCGAAGGTCCCAGTGGCACAGCCCGCATGCGGTTCCCCCACCCAGGGCAGCGCTTCGTAGCCCCATAGGGAGCTCCACTGAAGGTCCCAGTGGCACAGCCCGCATGCGGTTCCCCCACCCAGGGCAGCGCTTCGTAGCCCCATAGGGAGCTCCACCGAAGGCCCCAGTGGGGGTGTTCGCATGCGGTTCCCCCACCCAAGGCAGCGTTTCGTGGCCCCATAGGGAGCTCCACCGAAGGTCACAGTGGCACAGCCCGCATGCGGTTCCCCCACCCAGGGCAGCGCTTCGTAGCCCCATAGGGAGCTCCACCTAAGGCCCCAGTCGCGCAGTTCGCATGCGCCCCCCCTCCCCCCCCCACCCAGGGCAGCGTTTCGTGGCCCCATAGGTAGCTCCCCCGAAGGTCCCAGTGGCGCAGTTCGCATGCGTCCAGTACTGCGTTTCGTGGCCCCATAAGGAGCTCCACCGAAGGTCCCGGTCCCAGTGGCGCAGTTCTCATGCGTCCTCCCCACACCCAGTACAGCGTTTCGTGGCCCCATAGAGAGCTCCACCGAAGGTTCCAGTGGCGCAGTTCGCATGCGTCCCCCCCACCCCCACCCAGTACAGCGTTTCGTGGCCCCATAGGGGGCTTCCCCGAATGCGATACCCACAACTGCATATGGTTGGGTCTTTCGCCAGGCTAATTTTTCTCCATCCGAGCGTCTTTCCTTGAGTTCGCCCTCTGGGGCTCGCCCTCGGGCCCCTCCCTGGGCCACCAACAAGGGACCTGGGGCGAAAGCTGCCCCTGGGGGCGCCCGGGAAGGGGTCGGGGGCCACACGGGCTGCGGATTGAAAAATACTTCGTCAGACGTTAGGGTGCACCTCGATCCGATCGGTCCGATCCGATGCTGTTTCCGGCCGGCTCGGTCCGACGGTCCGATGCGACCCGACGCTCGCGTTTCGCTGTTTGGCGTCGTTGCGCAGCCCAGCCCGTTCGATTCCGACTCCGTGCCGATGCAGCCCGATCCGACGCACATTCCGATTCGACCCGATTTCCCGATTCGATGCTGACTGCTCCTGGGACCGCGGTCGGCTGGTCGCTGTCGAGATTCGACTCAGGAGTCAAAGAAAGACGCACGTACAGTGCCGCTTTTAATACATGCTCCGCGTGCGGATCATGTATGAAAATTGCAGGGATTTAGTTTAAAACCAATGATGAGCTCATGCATTCATCTATTCACAAATGATATCCATGATTAAAAACTCATATATTCTTCAACATCCTATGTATTAAACACTGCCCTGTATGTGTTCTGCCAGATCACATTACTCGAGCGCTCGCAAGCAGGAGAGCTGCCTCCCAGACCGGGGAGCAGATCCGCGCACGCGGCGGGGAGCGTGCGCCCGTCTCCGGGAGGGCTCCGCCCCTCGACGTTTGCAGTCTTCGGGCCCCCTGCCTCGCTCTGGCACCTCTCGCTCGACGTCGTCGCCGCTGCCCGAGCCGTGCTGGCACTCATGGGGTTCTCGCCCGCCTGCTGCGGAGCCGGGTCCGCGCGCGGCCCCGGCGGCCCCGCTCCCGCAGGCCGCCGCCGCCGCGCTGCAGCCTCCCCCGCCCCCCGTTGCAGTGCGATCGCATCGCGCTGCACTGCAGTCGCGTTGCACTGCACTGCCGCCGCATTGCATCGCATTGCCATCGCAGTGCGTTGTTTTTGCATTTGTCTGCGCGCCCCTGCGCTGCTTCGCATCGCAGCATGTTGCCTTGGAAGAACTGCGCCGCATCGTATTGGTTTGCTTTGCACTGCCTGCCAGTGCCGTGTGTGTCTTTGCTCTGCCTGGCTTTGCAATGCTTTGCATTGGGTTGCGATGATTTGCATTGCGTTGCATTGCTCGGTATTCTATCTCCCGTGTTACACGTGGGGAGCAAATGTCGTGGGGGGTCGCCGGTGAAAATTATCCCAGGGCCTGATTCTCGCGCCGGCGAAAAATACAGTGCCCAAGGGCTGGCGAACATGACACAGCATTTCAGGGTCGTTGCTGATGATGGTGATTGTGATGATAGTCATGATCATGCTTGTGTTGATGGCGAACACGATGAGGTTCTGCTTATGACGATAACACGAGGAGAGGGGCTGTGCTGGACGCGGGTGTTTGCTAGTATGAAGAAGACGAAAATGATACTGGTGATGGCGATGATGATGGAGATGATGACGATGATGATGATGGCGACAATAACGAACATGAGGTCGGCGACAAGGATGGTGGTGATCATGAGGAGGGCGACGACGCAGCTGATTGCCGTCACATGTGACACATTTCGTCTTCACCTCTCGAGGGGCCACATGGATCTCATGCGGGCCGTCTTGGTGCTCTCCAGGGGGTTCCCTGTGGCTCGCTGAGGTCGTCAGGGGGCCCTCTTGGCCAATCACCCTCATCATCCCATGGCCATCATCGTCGTCCTCATCATCATCATGATCATCACCAACATCGTCGTCATCCTTATCGGTTCGCGCAACGGCCACCGATAATGCTGTGCTGGCGCGGTGGCAGGACTTGCCGCAGGCAGCTAGCGCGGGCACGTGCAATGCGCGAGTGCGGTAATTGCAGAATGGACGCTTACGTACATGATGAACACACCAATAGCCATCAACCTTGCGAGCAATATGTGTTCATAGGCGCCGGCGAACCTTAAGCCGGCATGTCGAGAGGGCCGGCGGGAAATATTCTTCAGAGCCCAACGCCGGCGAAAATTACGTTGGGGCCCAAAGATGCACGCTGTGAAAATTACACCTCCCACGTTTCAGAAGGGAAATCGAATATTGCTTGGCTTCGCATTACTTTGAATTGCTGGGCTTCACATTTCATTGTTTTTGTCATTGTACTGCTTTGCATTGCTTTGCATTGCGTTGCATCGCGTTGTGTTGCGTTGCATTGTTTTGCAATGCTTTGGATTGCTTTGCATTGCTGTTCCGATGATTTGCATTGCGTTGCATTGTTTTTCATTGCGTTGCGTTGCTTTGCATTGCTGTTCCATGGGTTTGCGTTGCCGTGCCATTCTCTACCTTGCTCTGTGTATCTGTGCATTGCGTTGCACTGCTCTGCATTGCTTTGCATTGCTTCGCATTGCTTCGCACTGCTTCGCGCCACTTAGATTACACCACATGTGTTGCACAACCTAGGTTGCACCGCATAGCTTTCAAGCGATCACTGTTTGAGGTCCACGCTGGCTAACATTTCACATCCGCCTTCTTCAACTATACCTTCTGGATCCCTCCGATGTTTGGGCTCCCTGGTTGGAGGATCGAGGCCGTTTCGGCGGTGTGTGGGCGCTGCTGGGGGTTCTCGTCGCAGCGGCTGGACACAGTCTGCAAATCTGGGTAGGATGGGCCCCAGGAGGGGTCCGATGATCGATTTTGAGCGGGTGTTCCAGAGGCAACGTTAGGGGCGGGGACCCAGGGCAGGCATCATCGACCCCCAGTCGCCCACCGATCGCCGATAAGGGGGCTGATGGCCCACCCCGCCCGGGAGCGGTGCGGCTTCGCTGTCGGTGGCCTGTCGCCGATCTGCCGCCGATGCGGCGCTGAGTCCAGCTCAGTGGTCCCCCCCCCCCTAAGGGGCCAGTCCCCCCACACCGCTCCCCCTCTCAACCTTGGGGTCGGCAGGTTGCCCTCGAGGCTCGCGGGCCGAGGCTCCCGGCGCCTCCTGGGCCTCGGGGGGCCTCCAGGGGCGCGCGGCGCCCTCCCAGATCTCCTCGCGAGCGGGGCAGATGTCCACATCCCCGGCCTCGCGGGCCGGGCCCCCGGGCCCCGCCCTCATGGATGCTCGCCGAGCGCGTTCCACTACTCGCTGCATGCCTGCGCGCAAACGCTCGAGAATCACAGGTTCGCGTCGATACAATGGATCGTACATCCTCGCGGCGGAACCAGGCCGTTTGCGAGTTCTAGTCGCTTTGCGGGTCGTGGAGCCCGCTTGTCCAGACACGAGACGTTTTCTCGCAGATGCCCCGCGCAGAATGCATCCACGCGACCGCGTACCACGGGATCGCGCCCCAGAGTCCAGGCCATGAGGGCGTGGGTATGTTTGGGGAGGAGGGGGTCGATCAGAGTAAACCCAAGACGTGTCAACGACGCTGCAACACGCCCTCCCGTCCCAAGTCCCCTCTCCAGAGTTCCCTCCAAGCCTTCATCTTCACTACGAGAACAGCTCTCCGCACAGACTCTCGGATTTTTTGCTCTACCCCCAGGCCCCAGAAGAGGACCCCACCCCTCCCCCGGGGCCAGCCTCTCATCCCAGACCGCGGTTTCGTGGCCGAGGAAGCCCCCAGGAAGCCCCCAGGTAGCCGACATCGGGGACGAGCGCCGAGATTGGCCAAGATCATTCCGCCACAGGCCGGTGACAGGCGCCGAGGGGTCTCGGGGCCGGGGCGGCACCCCGAGAAGACCCGCGGCGCCGTCAGAGGCAGCCCAGGGCACTGGCAGTCGAGAAGCCCAACGAACGGCTCTCGGTGGGCCCCTCCTTCGCAGAGGCCCTCGACGCCGCGGCCGGGCGAGGCTCGCAGCGCCGACGACGACGCCGCAGGCGCGGTGTTGGCGCACAGGTGCCTGCTGTGCAACGGCCGTGCAGCATGTGCACCCCGCGTCGCCGCGGGGGCGACCCCAGCGCAGGCGTGCGAGGTCGAGGGTCGCCGGTGGGCCAGAAGTGGCCGACAGCAGCCGATCTGCGCGACTGGTAAGCCGCGCTCGTGCACAGGTGAGCGGTCCACGCGGTGTCAGAAGCCCACGGGCAGGTCGTCGCGGCACGAGCTCGCCGTGCCAAGGGAAGGGGCGCGGGGGCGGCGCGTCAGCGGATGCCGGGCCGACGGGAGAGAAGGCCCTCACGTCCAGCCGTCGTGCAAGAAGCGCGACCGACCTTTTTGTTGCTCTTGCTTCGTGTCCTGGCACCCTCACGTACTGTGGTTGGTGCATCAAGTAAGAACTCGAGAAGTTAGCATCCTGAAGGGTGCCCACCATAACTTTCTGATCCCCTGATTGCCCGAGTACCCAATCGGCTTCCAGGGCGCCTTGGCCTTGGCAGTTCAATATCAACGAACATATCGGCGAGAGGTGTTCCAATATCAGAATGCGGGGGCCGAGCGTTCATTCAATTGGGGTTCCGCGGTGCGGATTGTTGTTGCGCAATCGAACTCTTTCATTTCAGAAGAATGATTATCGTTGATTTTTCTCCCTTGGTGCCGATTGCGTCAGTCAAAGTGCTCCTCCTGGGGCTCGTACCCTGTCATCTACAAGGGAAAGTCTCTGGCCTCAGATTGTGTTGTCTGTCCTAACAACGGCCCCGGTCCGACACCTCTTGCAGTGTACTTCGAAGCCGCGCTCTCGCGCGGGACTGCGCCAGCAGGTGTGCAGGAGTCGCGCTCTCGCGCGGCGCTTCCGCCGTGCCCCCCAAGACTTGGGAACAGGAGTCACGCCTTGGCTTTAGACGTCCTCGCGACTTAACTCCGGGACCGCGATGTCGCTCGAAACTTCCTTCGTGATGGATTGATGCCTCAGCGACTCGCCCGCTCGACCTGGCTGCCTGGGCCCGCCCGCCCGACCTGCCCGCTAGTGTCCGCCCGCCTGGCTCTCCCGTCCGGTTCTGCCGCCTGCACTCCTGCTCCTGGCCCTCCTGCAAATTTCTCTCGTGATCCATCCCTCTCCCCCCCCCTTCCCCTGTTTTAGGGGCTGCGCCAACTGAACGCGGCAGGTATGGACAACATACTCCCAGGGGGGGGGGTACGATCGAAGACGAAGAGGGCGGGCATCGAGGGTTTGGGATGCACGTGCTGAATGGCACGCGAGCAGATAAGAGCGAACCATCTTAAACTGCTTGCTGTTTTTTTGTTGTTGTTGTTGTTGTTGTTGTTGTTGTTGTTGTTGTTGTTGTTGTTGTTGTTTTTGTTGTTGTTGTTGTTGTTGTTGTTGTTGTTGTTGTTGTTGTTGTTGTTGTTGTTGTCGTCGTCGTCGTCGTCGTCGTCGTCGTCGTCGTCGTCGTCGTCGTCGTCGTCGTTGTCGTCGTCGTCGTCGTCGTCGCCCGAGTCCCGCCCGCGACCCACCCCGCGACCCACCTGGCGAGCAAACCCGCGACGCACCCGTGACCTACCCGCGACCCACCCACATTGTTTTGACGAAAAATCTGCGCCCGCGGCGGGCTCGTTTTGTCATGCGCATGAAGACAATCATGGCCTGCGGTGGGCTTCGTCAGAGCCTCGCAGACTGCCGACGACCCCGCCGCCACTTCACTCTTATCCACGACTGCGTGGTGCTGCACATTTCCAGTCTCGCGATCTGTTTTTCTGCACAGCTGCACGACTACGCAAAACGATAGACATGTTTATGCATTTGTGTATCTCTATATATATATATGCATATGCACATGCATATATATATATGCATATATGTATACGCATACATATATGTATATGCATACGTAGGTACACGCAACATATGTGTTGCCGTCCAGCTCGAGAACTCATGCGAACATGCATCGTGGGCCAGATGCTCCAGTCGTTCCGCCCCCCGCGACGGTGTGTGTGTGTGTGTGTTCCCACTACCTTGGACCTCGGGGCAAGGGCGACGGTGCCCAGGAACAATAAGGCAGACCCTTGCCAGGCAAATTCAAGAATCAACAAACTGAGCTATGAAGTATCAGTCGACCTTGGCCGCTCCCTGGCCTGGGCAGGGTACCCTTGCTTGTTCTTGGGTCTCCCTGGCATCTCGTGCGTGCGGACACTCGGCGACCGCGGGGCAAGGACGGCTCAGACATTTTCCTGCACCAGAGGGCGATGGTGGACGGCAGCACGCCGAAGCAGGGGGACACGCTGCAGTACGACCTGGAGCCCAGCAGGTCAAGGCCGGACAAAATGCAGGCCACCAACGTGACTGGCGGAACGGGCAAGGGCGGTGGCTACGGCAAGTCCGGATGGGGCGCGAAGGGCGGCGGCAAGGGCGGCCCGTACGGCAAGGGCGGTTGGTGCGGCAAGGGCATGGACATGGGCTGGGGCGGCTGGGGCGGCAAGGGCATGCCCATGATGGGCTGGGGCGGCTGGGGCGGCAAGGGCTGGTAGTGAGACCCTGCTGCTCGGCCCCCCTAGAGCCTGGGGGCGGCGGGGGCTGCCTGGTGACGCCGCTCCTCCCAGCCCTTGCGCCCACAATAGAGAATCAAAAATAAGCACATGCCTCGGGCCCTCGCGGGGCCTGACGCGCGAGGCTCTGCGCTGGCCCCCTCCCGACCTCTCCATCTGCCGCCCCCCCCACCCGCGGCGCCGCTGACCCGGGCCCAGGCCTAGAGTCGGCGATGCCGCCGACGCGCCGCAGCCGCCGCCGCAGTTGCCGCCGCGCCGCCGCCGCGCCGACACGCCGCCGCCGCGCCGCCACAGCGCCGCCGCGCCGCCCCAGCGCTGCCACTGCGCCGCGCTGCCGCCGCCGCGCCGCCGCCGCCGCCGCAATGCCGCCACTGCAGCGCCGCCACTGCGCCGCATCCGAAGGCCCGGGCGCGCCCGCCGCCGCGCGGGAGCGGCCGCGGCCCGCCACCGGCCCCCTCCTCGGGCAGCGCCCCAGCGGCAGCGACCACGCGCCGCCAGAGCAGCCACGGGCCGCCACTGGCGGCCCGGCGGGCGCCGGCGCGCCCGAGGCGGCCACGCCGAGGCCGACGGGGCCAGGGGGGTTGCCGCTGCGCCGTCCCCGCTGCTGGAGGGCGCGGAGGGAGGGGCCGTAGGTCCGCGAGGCCACCTTGGCACTACCCTCCACACTTCCTCGCGTCGTATGTCGCGGGCGACAGGCACGCCCGTATCCGCGGCCTCGCGGTCGAGGCCCCTGGGCCGCGACCCCGCGGATGCGGGGCGCTTTGTTCGCAGCTGCCCCGCGCGGAACTTACACGCGAGACTGCGTATCCGCTGGATGCTTCGCCGGAGTCCAGACCGCGAGGGCGCGGATACGGATGTGCTCACCGCTTGTGGGCATACAAGTACTAACACCACGGCGGGTGTGGAGTTCTCTTCGGTGCCTGGGGGCGCTGGGCCCTGGGGGGGCCGTCTGAAAACCTCGCTGGACGAAAGACGCCCGGCCTGGGGAGGTGGTCGAGGCCTCCAGGGGTCGGCATTGACAAGACCTCACGACGTCGGAGATCTGGGACCACCACGCCGATGGGCAGGGCCGTCCCGGGCGCCAGGGTGGCGTGCAGGCCTGGCCTGCACGCCAGGAGAGCGCGCCGTGAGCAGCGCGCCCTGACAGGTAGCTCGGGTTTCATGGGCAACGCTGCAGCGGAAAACCATGCCGAGAAGCACCCTGCCTGCCTCCAGGGTGCCCTGGGCTTCTTGGGCTTCGATGGTTTTTGCTGCGTTGCAGAGCGTGGCGTTCCCACACCAATGGACGTGCTGTGTGCCTCAGGGTTGGGTCTCTTGCGGAAGGTCTCTTGTGGTTGAGCTCCTATTGTGGGGGGGGACCGCGCGGCGATGGACCGCGCGGCGAGGCCGTTGGGCAGGAGGAGGAGGAGGAGGGGAATGGAGGAGAGGAGGAGGGGGAGGAGGAGGGAGGGGGAGGAGGAGGAGAGGAGGGAGGAGGAGGGGAGGAGGAGGAGGAGGAGGAGGAGGAGTGCATCGACCGCCAGTCGCCCATTCTTCGCCGATTGGGAGGGCCTGCCTGACAGCCCACCCCGCCCATCGGGGGGCCCGTCTCCGATCTCGGATCGCGGAGTCCATGTCGTCGTCCTCCCCCCCCCTCCGAGGCAGCCCCCCCCCCTCCTCCTCCTCCTCCTCCCTCCTCCTCCTCCTCCTCCCCCTCCTCCCTCCTCCCTCCCCCTCCTCCTCCTCCTCCCCTCCTCCTCCTCCTCCTCCTCCTCCTCCTCCCTCCTCCTCCTGCCACGTCGTTGACCCTCAAAGGTGGCACTGGCCAGGCACAGTGGTGGTGGCAGTGTTGGCGTACAGGTGCCTCCTTCGAATCACGTGTCTTCGCGCCACGGGCCGGCGTGCCAGGGGACGCGGCTGCAAGCTGGGTGCGCTCGCGCCGTGTCTGACGTCCTCCCCTCTCCCGCCCGTCCCCTTCAGTCGTGTGGAATCTTTCTCTGTTTGGAGAGTCGGGCGTCGGGGAAGTTCTTGATGCCCAGGGCCTTTCCCGCCACCCGACTCTCTACACACAGCGGAGCACTGCACGCACGAGTCACCCTGGAGAAGGCCGTTGGGGCATCGACCTCCAATCGCCCACTCGTCGCCGAAAGTTTCCTGAATCGCCCACTCGTCGCCGAAAGTTTCCTGGATCGTGTGGCTTGGGTATCGCGTGCCTGTCGCAGACCTGTCGGCGACGCATCTCTGGTCCTATATGGGTGTCTCCCCCGCAAGATCGCCGGCGAGTCTGGGGGGAAGTGAGAAGGGGGGGGCCTTCTCGGAAGGCTCGACCGCCCCCCAGCCTTCCGAAACGTTTTCTGAGCCTTCGCGGAAGACATGGGAAACTTGTCGGAAGGCGCGAGGGTTTCTGAGGATCATTGAGCGTGTTCCACTACTCGCAAAGTGCCTACTCGCAAACGTCAAGAAAAGCCACGTTCGCCTCGACGTAATATATCGTAAATAATCCCCCGCCGCGAATCCGGGTGATCTGCGAGCAGTGACTTTGCGAGGACTGGAACGCGCTCGTCGAGAGAGCCCCGCCGCCTTCTGAGACGGCCTTCCTCCTCCCCCCCTTCCACCCCCCCCCCTCGCTCGCCGCCGACGAGAGGCTGCGTAGGCCCGGCCGACGGCCCAGACGGCGGCCCGAGGCCGGCCCGCGGGCGCGAGCTCTCGCGGCCGTTCTGCTCTTCGTGGCCGACGGGCCGCGGACGGCCCGAGGCCGCTTCCACTCGAGGTCTCCCCGAGGCGCCACGCCTCGGGGCTCGAGGGACGGGGGCGGATGCAGACGGGGGTCCGCCAGAGCGCCGGATCTTGCGGGACCCTGCAGGGCCCAGGGCTGCGTCGGCCCGGGCCAGCGCGCAGGCGCCTGCAGGGGCTCTGCACGATCTGGCAGGGCAGGATCCTGGAGGGCCCGACGGACCCCGGCGTGCGTGGACCTGGGGCAGTGATCAGATCCCCGAGCGCCCGGCCCTGGTGGCCACACCCCTGCGCTGCATCCTCGGGGGGCCTCGCCTGTCCTGTCAACGGTGCCCAGGCCTCTTTTCCGATCTCCGACGGGGGCTCGGCGCAGATGCGGCGCGGCCGTTCGGCGCGGGCGTTCGGCGCGGGTTCGACGTGGACTCGGCTCGGGCGGTGGCGCGGCGAGGCAGGCAGGGCCCTCCGAGGGTGCAGCACGAGCCACCCGTCCCCAGTTGGGCGGCTGGCGGGGCTGTGGGGGGGCGGAGACGGGAGGGCAGCTCCTGCTGGCCGAAGCGGCGTCGCTGGCGAAGGCACGACGGGCAGCGGCGAGGCGAGCGCAGGCGTGGCACTGCGGTCCGCTGCGGGAGGCGGGAGCAAGACGTGACAGGCCTCACCCCGAAAGGTGCCCCCCTGGGGCCGACCACAGGGGCTGGTGTTGAGTCGGGCCTGTCCCTCTACAGGAGGAGGATTCGAACATCGTCAAAACATAGTCTGGGGACGATTCTTTGATGTTTTGTTTTGTTTTTGTTCTTTCTTTTTTTCTTTCCTTCTATTCATATCTTTTGGGTATGGTTTGGCTATGTTTGACGCTTCGTCAAACAATCCCCCTGTAGGAGGACAGGCCCGACGTAAGGCTGGCGCTCCACCGCCGAGAGAAGGGGAGGGGCATGGCTCGAGCCAGGTGCGCTGGCGCCTCACCCGACAGGCTGTCCCGCCCTCCCAGGCCCTGCTTCCCATGGGGCTGATGCTTCTCGATCCGCGGACGCGTGCCATGGCCGACCTGGGACTCCCACAGAGACAGACCACTTCGTGCTGTGCACCATCGGAAGAAAGGGGGGGCTGCGTGCACAGGAGGCGGAGCAGGAGGAGGAGGAGGAGGAGGAGGAGGAGGAGGAGGAGGAGGACGAGGAGGAGGAGGACGAGGAGGAGCAGGACGAGGACGAGGAGGAGGAGGAGGAGGAGGAGGAGGAGGAGGAGGAGGAGGAGGAGGTGGCGAGTGAGCAGGAGGATGGGCGGGAGGAAAAGGATGAGGACGAACAGCAGCAGCAGCAGCAGCAGCAGCAGCAGCAGCAGCAGCAGCAGCAGCAGCAGCAGGAACTTACAACGGAAGGATCGGAAGGGAAAGGAGGACCAGGGGAAGGCGGAGGAGGGGAAACGAGGGGGCGACAATGATGAAGAAAGACTCGGATTCAGAAAAGTGGCCCGCGCTGGGGCGAGACGAACATCAGCAGCAGGAACTGGGGAGGAAGGAGTGAGAGGAACAGGAGGACCAAGGGAAGGCGGAGGAGGGGAAATGATGGGAATTACAACATTGAAGCAAGACTCGGATCCAGAAAAGTGGCCTGCGCTGGGGCGAAAGCGCCACTCCGAACGACAGGAGCAACGCGCCAATCTGAAAATGAGGCCCACGCTGCAGCGGGAGCACCAATTTGGACGTGCCGGAAATCATCGGATGGTCAACAACCGCAGGAGAAGAAGCATGCATAACATCCCGCGTGTGGCAGAACAGCACGTGGAGGGGGCGGGAGCTCTTCCGGACAGCTTCACGGGAGGAGGAGGGAGAGCAGTGCAGCCAAGACGCCGAACTGAGGACCGTTTCGGGCTCGGCAGGGGCTCGGGGACTTCGGGCCGCTGCCGGGACTTCTGTCGTGGAGCCGTGCTGTGGCCCAGGGCCGCCGTGGCCAGAGAAGCCCCTCCGTTCCCGATTCGGCGCGCCTTCTGGCCGCACGACGGCTGTACTCCGAACGTTTTTTTGTTCCTTGTCGGCGAGAGGGGCGGCTCCTCCTCCTCCTCCTCCTCCTCCTCCTCCTCCTCCTCCTCCTCCTCCTCCTCCTCCTCCTCCTCCTCCTCTCCTCCTCCTCCTCCTCCTCCTCCTCCTCCCCCTCCCCCTCCTCCTCCTCCTCCTCCTCCTCCGAGTTTGTCCTCCTCCTCCTCCTCCTCCTCCCCCTCCCCCTCCTCCTCCTCCTCCGAGTTTGTGCCTGGTGTCGTCGTGGGGCGGGGAGGAGGCAGGCCTGGTGGCGGCGGGCATGCGCGCGGGGTGCTGGCCCGAGCGCGGGCCCCCCGGGTTCCCTGGCGGGGCCGCCGAGGCCCACCTCGGCCCGAAGCGGGGCCCCCGCCGTGCGGTCGGATCCAGCAGCGGCGGAGCGTCCCGGCTCCCGGCCTGCCTGCAGGCCAGGCCCGCCAGGGAATGTTCTGAGAACATTTTTTTCTGGTGGTCTGCGCGACGTGTTCTCAGAGCGCCTCTGCCCGAGACTCTATCCGGCTTTGATGCAGTCGGGGCCCTGAAGAAGGAACCCTTTTGGTTGGGGAGGGGCTCCGCGTTCCTTGAGTGTTTCACAGCTTGCCTCAGGTTTTCCTGATGCTTTCGATAGGACATCGAAGTTTAACTTATGGAGAAAAGGGGCCTCGTTCCTTATTTAGGGTTCCTTAGGTCAAGGCCCCGACTGTACATCTGCCTTCTATGTTGCAGTCGTGCTCGTTGCTGCAGCAGCTGTGCTCTCGGGGCCTTGTCGTCGCGGGCTTCTGGGAATGCTGGGGCGGTCGGTCCCTGCTCCGCTCCCGGCCCGGGGTCCCTCCTCCTCGTCTCTTCCCCATCCCTGCCCTGAGGGGGAGTAGGTTGGAGGATGAGGAGGGGGATGAAGAGAAGGAGGAGGATCAGGAGGTTGGAGCAGCTGGGAGGGCGGAGGAGGAGGAGGAGGAGGAGGGGGGGGGGGGGGGAGGAAGAGGAGGAGGAGGAGGAGGGAGAGGAGGAGGAGGAGGAGGGGAGGAGGAGGAGGAGGGGAGGAGGAGGAGGAGGAGGAGGAGGAGGAGGAGGAGGAGGAGGAGGAGGAGGACGACAGCTCGCTCCAGAGCGTCCTGGACCGCTCCCAGAGCAGCCCGACGCTGCCCCCCCCAGCCTCGCCCGCTCTCGGAGGTGCCCAGCGCGTCCTCCGAACCGAGCCATGCTCCCCGTTGGAGTCGTACTTGTTTTCAGGGTCTTATCGGGGGCAACGGCAGGGGGGGGCTGGAACCGAGGGGGAACATCGACCCCAAATCGCCCATTCGTCGGTGATCGGGGCCTGGCCCCGTCACCCCGCCCAAGAAAAGGTGTGCGCTCGCTATCGGGGCCTGGAACTGATCCCTCGGCGAGGTGTCGCCGATTCCAGGGCAGCGCGCTCCCCCTCTCCAGAGCCAGGCCCCCCCTTTCCCAGACATCCGAGGCTGAGGTTTTTTCCCTACGCGGCCCCAGTGTCGCCGATTCCAGGGCAGCGTTCCCCCCCTCCGGAGCCAGCCCCCCTTTCCCCGAGGCTGAGATCTTTCCTTGCGCGGCCCCAGAGACGTACGGACCCCTTCCCCGGGGACAGTTGTTTCGCCCCGGGACCCACTTCTGACGGCCCGGGGCCCGAGAACGGGTCCCAGACGCCGCAGCCGAGGAGCGAAAACGCGCAGACTGAAAACGCCACACGCATCGCTGGAGATCTGGGAGGTTCGAGCTTCCTCACTCCATGCCTCTCAAATGGGCTCCGAGCAGATGGGGTCGGAGGATCGTGCCGCGTTGCCGATGCATCGGCGATGCGGCTCGATGTGGAGCCCGATGCTCTCCACGTTGACGTCGCCGATGCATCGCCGATGCGTCTGCGATGCGGCGTGATTCTCCGACCTCATGTGCTCCTCGTCCTCCCCGTCTTCTTCCTCGTCCTCCTCTTCCTCCCTTTTCCTGCGCCTGGTGCCGCTTCGTCTTCTTCCTCGTCCTCCCCGTTTTCTTTCTCGTCGTCTTCTTCCTCCCCGTCTTCTTCCTCCTGGTTCCTCCTTTCCTCCCCGTCTTCTTCCTCGTCCTCCCTTCTTCCTCGTCCTCCTCTTTCCCTCCCTCGTTCCTTCTTCCTCCCTTTTCCTCGGGTAGCTCCTGGTGCCGCTTTGTTGTTGCCCCGCCCGTCTCTCCCAGGCCAGGGTCCTCTGCCTGAGCCTGCCTGTTGCAGATTGGCTCGTGTGGTGCTCTGGGTCTGCCTGGTGACTCTTTGGCTCGCACCGTGGATTTGCACAGCCGAGTCGTCGAACTCTGGCGGTCGCGCTCCACCTCCTCCCAAAAACCCTTGGCGCCGCTCGAGCGTGTGCAGTTTGTGTGCCTCGGCAGGGACCACCGCGGAGCCTCCGGGACCGCCCCGCAGAAAGCACGCGCGCACGAGAAACCGAAGAGTGCACGGGGCGAGAAGCCATGGCAAAAAAGAGCGCTGGCCGGCGCTCGGGCCCGCGCGCGGCGCAGGAGGCGCAGGCCTCCCGCACCGGGGCCCCTCGCGTGGGGCCTGCCCGCCGGGCCGCAGCGCCGCGCGCGGCGGCGGAGTGGCCCGGCCCGTGGCCAGGGCACCACCCCGGGGCGCGCTCTCCAGGTGGCCCTCCGGGCGCCTCTGGCGGCAGCTCGGCGGGAGACTCGGCGTTCGTGCACGGGGCACGACGCGCCCGGGCGTCCGAGCGATGGCAAGGATGAAGTCGGGCCTGTCCTTCCACAGGGGGAATGTGCAACACATAGTTTCACGTATAGCACGGGGACTGTTCTTAGAGCATGGTTGAGAGCACGTTGAGGCTATCTTTTGGGGTATTTTTCATTTTTCGTCCAGAATCGGCCTTGGAGGGGACAGGCCCGACTTCAGGCAAGGAGCCCAAGTCCCAGACCCCCGACGTAATGAATTTTTCATGACGTCGACCCCCAGCGGTCTGGACCCATCCCCCGGGACCGGTTCTTCGTCCTGAGTCGTTTTTTGACGGTCTCGAGGGCCGGTAAGGGCCCCCAGAGGCCAAAAATTACGAAAAACCTCCCGTCGTGATTTTTTCATAACTCGAGGGGGTCTGGGGTTGGGGAGGCCGGAGCGGCCGCGGTCCGCGCTCGGCCCGCCCGCCCGCGCAGGCAGGGCACGGCGGACCGCGCACGGCTGCTCGCGGCGCGCGCGGCCCGGGTGATCGAGAGCCCGCCCGGCACGGGCGCGGCTGCCGCCGCCGGGCCCGAGCGGGAGGAGCCCGCGCTCCGCACCCCGACGACGGCGGCGAGGACGGCGGCGGCGACGACGGCGACGGCGAGGACGGCGGCGGCGACGGCGGCCACGACGACGGCGAGGAGGACGACTGGCACACTGGTGCGGTGCGCGCGCGCGCGCGTCGGGCACACATGGGCGACGCGCACGATCGGGCATCTTTTGTGGCATGAGCTCCGTGGAGGGCGCTCTCTGGCCATACCGATCCAAAGATGAAACTCTGCAGGATTTGGTGCTCTGCTTTTGGGTCGCACGTGCGTCTCCAGCAGGGGCACGTCGTACGACAGTAAGTCCTTCTGCGCCCCGCGCGCGGCCGCGCCGGGGTCCTCGGCGATCGAAGAAGATTCCAGATCTCCGACGATGTGTTTGCTTTCGATCCTGGTGCTTTTCCTTCGTGTCGGCCCCAGGGGCCCGCCATCGGGCCACAAGGCTATGAAACATGGATCCGAGATGAAAAGTTCACCCCGGGGAAGCGGTCGGGACTTCTGGATCCGCGGATTGGACGAATCACATCGGCGGGCGTCAGGGGATCGGAAAAGTCAAGGACCGCGCCACATCGCCGGCCGACGCATCGGGAGTGCGGCTCCATTCGGAAGCGGGCTTGCTCCATCCCGACATCGCCGACGCACCGCCGACGCATCGCCGATGCATCGGCGATGCTGCGCGCTGCTCGGACCACTTTTGGGCGGTCTCCACCTTCGGCTCGCCCGAGTCGAGCCGGCGGAACTCCGCAGCTGCCCGCCGGCGCTGAGGAGCTCTCGAGGCGCGCTCCACTGCTCGTCGCTGCAGTGCGACAGCAGCGGCTTGCGAGGTCGTGTCTGGCCCGCACGGTCCCCTCCTGATGCCCGCGCACCATCGGCCACGCTGCTGCCTACCACTCGCACGTGTAGGGTATTCCTGCCCGAGCGTTCGTCCTCCGTCTCTCGCCCGGCATCGGGCCCCTGGGCCATGCAAACGCAGGGCGGGCCTCCGAACTCCTCCCGGCAGCTCCGAAAGAGTCCCCCTTCGCCGGAGGGACCTTGGCTGCGGGCCCACAGGGGCCACGCCCGGCTTTGGCCTGCGCGCGGGGACCTCCCCCCCCCTCCCCCCGCGGCCACGGAAAAGGCGGGCAGCGAAGCCCAGCCCTGCCCGGGGCCACTCTTGCGTGCCCGTCTTCGTGGCTGAGGGGCATGCGCGCCCATCCCTCCTGCTGCTCCTCCTCCTCCCTGCCTTCCTTCTCCGCCCTGCTCCTCCCCCTTCCTCTGCCCTCCTCCCTCTTTCCTCCTGCTCCTCCTCTCCCTCCTCCCCTGGACGCGCCCGACCTCTTCCTCTTCCCCCTGTCCTCCCTGCCGCCTCTCCCCCGCCTCCCTCGCTTCCTCACCCGCGCCCCCTCCCTCCCCTGCCGCCTCCGCTCCTCGGTACCCTCGCCGCCCCGACACTGCCGGCGGTTCGATCCCTTCCTCCCCAGACCTCCAACGTCAGGAAAAAAGTCAAAGCGGAGGTTGCTCTCGATGTTCGGCCTCTGTAGCGGCCCTCGCCGGGCCCCGGGACCGTCAAACGACGACTCGGAAAGAAAAGCCGGTCCTATGGGGGGAAGGGGTCGAGACTTCCGGGGGACCCCGTGGCGAAAAACAATCATGGCATCGGATCTCCGGGTCGGGGCGTGGGCCCCCCCGGACTTCGCGGGGAGCCCTTCGCCGGGCCGGCGTCGCATCCCGCGTCGTCTCGTGGAGGGTCCCTGCCCGCAGCTGGTCGGCCGGACGTAGGAGCGACCTTTCGCCGGAGTGACCTTTGGGTGCGGGCCCAGCGGGGCCCCCCGATGGCTGAGCGCGAAGCGGTGGCAGCGGCTTGCGCGCCCGGGGTTGGCCACCCCGCGTCCCCTGTCGAGCCGCGCACCAAGGGTCACTCTTGTCCAGGGTCACTCCTGCGTGTAGCCGAAACTGGCCCCAGAGCCTAAACATGACTTTTGGGGCGACCAAGGGGGGGATGATGATCGGGGGTGGGTGGGCGGATGACCGGGGCCATGGTACACCTTAGGCGATGCTTAAGAAAACCTAAGTTTTCGGCCAGAGGCTCGATTATTCTTAACATTTCAACGTAAATCCTAAGATTTTAATGGAAACGTTGGGTTTTTATTCAAGTTCTGAGACTATGAATTTCTTAACCCATGATTTCTTAAGCATTTCGCAGGGTGTATTCCATGGCTCTCTTCTTATTCCAGTGCGTCCCTTGGCCCCTCCCTGGGCCGCGCACGTGCCTCGGGCCCTTGTTTGGGACCCCCCTCTTGGGCGCCCCCCTCCTGGACGCCCCCGATCGCTTGCCGCTTCGATATTTTCGAGGAGCCCGATGTTCAGGAGCGAAATAAGGACGTACACGTACATGAATCCACGCAGTTTTCGAGAGTTCGCATTGCACGAATGTTCGTATCACGCGGCACGTCTCGCGGGTCACGGGGCCGTGTTCATGTACATAGCTGGGCGCGTACGTCCTTTGTGGGGTCCCTAGATGTCTGGGGAGGGCAGCAGAAGGCAGGGAAGGCGCGGGAGAGAGGGATGGAGGTGACCTTGAGACCTGACGTCGCGAAGAGAGTGTACCATTGCCGCCGCGAAGAGAGTGCAGCACCGTGGGGACCCACGGGCAGAGCCCCAGAGACCTCATCTCGACGCGGCACTTCTCTGTTTTTTTTGTCAGACCGACCTGGGATTAGGTCGGGCCTGTCCCCCAACAGGGGGGTTTCGACGAACATTCAAAAATACCCCCCAAACTGCTCCCAAACGGTCAACAAATATTCAAAAATTAGTCCCCAGACCATTTTTGGATTATTTTTGGATTATTGTTGGGGTATTTTCCCTACCTAGGCTCTGCCTAGAGGGTTCTTACTCTATTAGCTTAAAGGGGCCGGGCAGTGGGCTTCGCCCCGGGCGGTTCCCCCGGTCCCCGCCCCGCGGTTCCCCCAGTTCCGCCCCCCTTACCTTAGCTTTGCGTATCTCATCTTAGCTTAGCTTAGCTTAGCTTAGCTTAGCTTAGCTTCATCTTAGCTTCGCTTAGCTGTAGCTGAAGCTGTAGCTGTAGCTTAGCTTAGCTTAGCTTAGCTTAACTCAGCTTAGCTTAACTAACATACAGCAGCAACAGCAACAGCAACAGCAACAGCAACAGCAACAGCAACAGCAACAGCAACAGCAACAGCGAAGCAAATCACTAGCAACGCAAAGCAAAGCAAAGCAACAGCAAAAGCAAAGCAAAGGAAAGGCAAAGCAAAAGCAATGTGCAACAGTACGATCAGAGAGCCCACCCGGTGAGCGAATGCAAACACATGCGTGCGTGTGTGTGTGTGCAAAGGCAGAGCACAGCAAGACCAAGCAAAAGCAAAAACAAGCAAAAGCAAAGGCAACTGCGACGAAGAGGAGGAGGAGGAGGACGGCGTTTACCGTTACTGCTAACGCTGCTTTCCCAGGGGCTCCAACTCCTAGGTAGGGTCGCACTGGGGTCGTTTTATTTTTCGTAAGGGGGAGAGCCCCGAGGCTCGAGGTTTGCGGTGAGAACGCCCAGCCTGCGACGTCGGGATCTCCGGGGAGGGCACGATGGGCCTGTTTCCACCACCGCCGCCATGAGTTGGAGAGGGGGGGGTCCTCCTTCTCCTCCTCCTCCTCCTCCTCCTCTTCGTCCTCCTCCTCCTCTCCTCCTCCTCCTCCTCCTCCTCCTCCTCCTCCTCCTCCTCCTCTTCGTCCTCCTCCTCCTCCTTCTTCCCCCCTCCAACTTCTGGTGGTGGTGGTGGGAAACGGGCCCATCAGGGCAGGCGCAGGAGGGGTTGCCGCCAGGGGCCCTCACGAGGGCTTCCCTTGGCCGCCTCGAGCTCCCCCCCTCGAGGTGGCTTCGGGGGCCCGCCGCGGGCCGGGTCCGGGAGTCGTCTCGCGGGCCGCCCGGGGCTCGCATAAGCTCGCACAGGGTGAGGTGTTCCCGATTCACCGTCGTCCAACTCCTCCTCCTCCTCCTCCTCCTCCTCCTCCTCTTCCTCCTCCTCTCCTCCTCCTCTTCCTCCTCCTCCTCCTCCTCCTCGTCCTTCCTCCTCCCCCTCCTCGTCTCCTCTGCCTCTCCTCTTTCCAAAATCAAGCTATATGCGTACTTCTCCCTCTCCCCTGATCTGTGCGGTGGTGCCGCCAACCCGCCCGCTCATTGCTTCGACACACAGGATGTCCCAAACAGTGGTTCCCAGTACCCATCGGTCGTCGAATGTAGGTCTTTTCGGATTCCCAGATTCCATTCTACTTTAAGCGCCTTCCTGCTTCAATCCTCGAGCGGCTTCACCTTGTCCGTCCTCTTTTAGGCGGCGGGCGGACGTCACCCAATCTGCTTTCGACGCCTTCCCACTTCATATCTCTGCCCACTGCTTCCGACCGCTGGGTATCCTCGTCCTGCCTTCGGCCTGCGCTCAGGAGCGCTCTTGCCCAGCGTGCCGCGCCGCCGCTTGTGGGCCCCACCGCGCCTCCCAGACCCCCGACGTCCTGAATTTCTCATGACGTCGACCCCCAGCGGTCTGGACCCTTTCCCCGGGACCGGCTCTTCGTCCCGAGTCGTTGTTTGACGGCCCCGAGGGCCGGTAAGGGCCCCCAAAGGCCCCAAAATAATGAAAAACCTCCCGTCGTGATTTTTTCATATCTCGAGGGGGTCTGGGATATCGGCGCCACGCGCCCTCCGCCTCCCGGTTCCCCGGCGGCCGCGCCCCGAGCCTCTCCCCGCCCCCCCCCCCCCCCCCCCCCGCCCCGCGCGAGCGGAGCGGCACGCCCTCCGCTGGCACAGGGCGCGGCGCGTCGCCCCGGGGCCGCCGCGCGCCCCATTTTCGGCGCACGCGGGGCCGCGGCTCCTCGCCGCGCCCTCGTCCTGCGCTCGTCTTGCCGTGGGCCCAGACCCCCTCGAGTAATGAAAAAATCATGACGGGAGGTTTTTCCTAATTTTCGGCCTCCGGGGGCCTTCGCCGGGCCTCGGGAGCGCCAAAAAACGACTCA